TAAAACAGGTGACCGTAAGAGCAGGTTCGACTGTTATTGCAACTGTAAAGTTAACTCATTGAAGACGCCAATCCTGCCCTTTCAAAAGCTTGGAAAAACTTAACTTCGTTATATCCATACAGACTTTCCAATTATGTTTTCTTTTTCTGAAATTTAGAAAGGCAGGCAACAACATTTATATTAATATGACATGTCAAATGTTGTGTTTGTGGTTTGTGTATGCGGGCTTGAAATAATGTGCCACAACAATGAATTGGAATTGCTTTTGGTCGGACAAATCTGTCTGACGCGTCTTTAAAGTGTTAATTTTTTACGGCCTAACTACTACATTTTTAATAAGTTTGGAGCGGTCATCTGCGACCGTGCCTGTGAGGGTCAAACCAGGCTTAAAATAGACGGGTGCAAGTTTCCAACAAACAGTTGTAATAAATACTCGATTAAAATCCTCGTCACTCAGGAATCAAACTCAGAAAAGAAAAGAACGAAACACATATTGACTCCATCTTTAGGAGCCCAAATTTATGGACAGTTCAAATTGTAGATATATAAATACTTAGCAGTGGAGGGAACAAGGCATCAACTATACCAAGTGATATGTGCACAAAAACAAAGCAAGCACCAGTTGTTGATTTAACCACTTTTGACTCCAGAAAACAACCACTCCTCTCCAAACAAACAAACAAACAAAATAGCAAACAGACAGACAGACAGACAAACAAACAAACAAACAAACAAATAAACAAACAGAAAAGGAGACAGAACAAAAAACAGAAAAAAGACGAGACAGTGTTGAGATAGGCGAGTTTATCGCTAAGCCTATAAGAGTGCGCATGAATGCCTGCCACTTCAGCCAAAAGTGTGACGCTTATACAACGACGACCGTCCGATCCATGTGAGGCTCAGCTCTAGAGCGAAAACGTGCTATCTGGGCATCCGTAATATTAGTTGGTTTTAGTTTTTAGTTTTAGTAAGAGTTTAACGGCACTTGCAACACAATAAGGTCATATGAGTGCCGAAAATTAACAAAAACAAAAGGGAGGATAGCAGATAAAGACGACAGATGTTTAATAAGAAAGAAGTCAACCATCTCAGCGCACCCGCCAACCGCCCAAGTATTTTTAGTTTGCTCTGTTTACGTAAGGGGCTTAGAAGGTAAGGCTTTTCCAGACATAAACGGGTTGTTTCAAGGTCGTTGCAGTGGGCACAATGGTAAGAGGAGATGTGCGATTAAGGTCTAACCAGACAAGTAAAGGCCTTTCCTCAGACAGGATTTAGGTTGTTGGCGCGTTCTCTGGTTTGGTTTCTTCTTCTTTCCTATCAAATATATATCCTTTTTCTCTCTTTATTCTCTTCTGGGAGACCCTTCTCTCATGTAGCTGCCTATTTTTGAACTCCCGCCTACATCAAGATTTGAGAGATACAAAGTCGAAAGCAAAAAGCAAATTTCGAATGCATGTACTACGAGAAATGAAATCTTGATAGTTAGTCCTTCTTATTCATAATCCTCTTATGTTTATAATGTAATTTATTGTCAGCAGTTGGGCTGTGAGAGTATGAATGTTTGCTTATTTGAAAGCAGTATCGCAAGAACTTAAGTATGCACGTTCAATCATTTGTATTTTGTATTAAGATGAAAGTATTGTAAGACGTCTAGGCCGTTTTGTACGGGAGTGAGCACTATAATATAGACCATAACTGCATTATTACTGCTTTTTTTGTGTGCTAGTCTCATTATAGTAACAGCTTTTATTTTCGGCACTTACATTACCTCTTTGAGCTGCAAGAGCCGTAAAACTCTTACAAAAACTCTAATATTGAAGACAAGATCTAGTTAATTAATTATGTTTATGTTGTAACTGTCAAACTCTTTGCTGTTGCTTGCAAAAGACGCGAGTTCAATTCTGGGGAGGAGAAGTTTTTGTTTGTTTGTTTGTTTGTTTATTTCTATTACGTTTGTGTTGTTTTCCTTTTAAACAGATACAGAGGAACATGCTGGAACAGTTTACCTGACCAAGACAATCACCTGCACAAACGGCCACATCCCACTTTCCCTTTTGCCTATTTTTTCTGTATTTTTATGACTTTCCAAGGGGACTATTTGTTTAAAATTACCGCTATTCTCCTCGACAATGTTGGCTGTTTTGGACAGGTTTGACTGCTATCCCCGTCCGTCTGCTAGGACATTGTAGCCCTATCAGTTGTGTTTACTCCTTTCGGGAAAGTGACAAGTTTGAAGCTGCCCGCCTCGTAAAGATCTGTATCGTATCAATGGCGGCGTGTTGTGGCGTCTATCCTTGTTATCGTCATGTCTCACATCCTATGCTGTTCGGTCAACTTGCTAAGTGGACTGTTCCAACATTAAGTATCTGTGTATTTGAAATTAGCAACTCTTGTTTTATCCGTCAGTGTCGAGTGAGTTTAGCCGTAATATGTTGCTGATACTAGATCTAGAAAGTTGATGCTAGTTCTTGTATTCCTACAGAGTAACCTAGCTGTTAGGCTACCAGACTCCTAATCGTGAGGTTGCGGGTTCGGGAGTTCGAGCCTCCGCTTGGTCCGATGTTGTGTCCTAGGGAAAGACACTTTACACAAATTTCCCACTTGGCTCGGTCCTTTCGGAGATCGACGTTAAACTCGGAGGTCCCGCCCCTTTAATAACTTAATAGTGTTGATAGAGATGTTAAACCTATACCAATTCACCATTTTCCACAGGCGGCGTAAAATATACCAACTTAGACACCTCGAGGTGTCATCTCTGACTCAGCAGAGCTTGACCTGTAATGACCCCTCCATCCCTCACGGTTGCGAGCTGCCTGCTGCCTGCTGCCGTTCCACATTCTGCCATACCCAGGCTAGTCTATGTCTTATTGTTGTCCGCCCATGTTTCTTTGTCTACCCCATGCTTTCCTGCCAGACATCTATTTCGGTCTAGTACCTCTTCCGCAACGATCTGGATTTTATATGGTCAACGTATTGTATTTTTTACGTTTCATTTTGTTAAGCAGGGGTTGCCTCGTGTGGAGAATCTGACACACCTCATTGTAAGTCTGTTTTTTCCTCTTTCTCTTTTTTTTCTTCTTTTTTTCTTGTTTCTTTTCAGCTCAAATTACCCGAACAGATACATAATGCATTAGAATGTGTAAAAGGAAATATTTTGGGAAAAAGAGAACCAAAAGGTCAGGGACAATAAACCTAAGACTTATATCAAAATATTATTATCTTAAACAATGCACCTTTCGGTTTTGGTGTGGTTTACGCCTTCTGTCCTATAAAACATGTATCATCTTAATATCTTTTTGTTAGTTACTCTCTTGTAACACCTCTAATCTCCAGCACTTATATGACCTAATTGGGATGCAGGTGCTGCAAAACTCTTACAAAAACAAAGCACTCTAACGTTCACTATGGAGCGTGCCATTTGAGCCAAATAAAGAGGGAGGAAAGGGTGGAGGGGGGCGGGGGGTAGAGGAGCAGCACACACTCGACTAGCTATGGCTGGACTGGTGTTTTGCTCTGTTTTGGCGAAATGACCCTTGCTACACCGATTTGCGGCGAAGCTTCTGTAGAGACCGAAGAGAGGCGGCCTTGAAAGTGTCGGCCAAGGACGGTGCCATGGCTAAGTAAAGATAGATAATACTTTATTGTTCCAGAGGGAAATATTTCTTGGCTGTACAGGGCCGTAAAAACATATGCAGGTATACAGAAAAAGTTTGAATATATTACATCATTCTCTTTAAAATTCAATCTGAAAAGAAAAGTAAAACTGACAAACAAAATCGGGAAAATAATCATACAAGACTTGCCATGCAAACCAAGTGTCTGCATATTGTCAGTACTTGCTATTATAATATTATGTTGCTTGTTAAGTGATTAAGCTTATAGCCTGCTGAAAAAGGGAGAGAGAAGAAAGGAAAGTAAGAGAGAGACAGACAGAGAGAGAGAGAGAGAGAGAGAGAGAGAGAGAGAGAGAGAGAGAGAGAGAGAGAGAAAAGGGGGGAATGGGTGAGGAGAGAGATAGGTAGAGTGATAAAGACTGACATAGAGCAAGAACAGGAGAAATACAAAGATAGAAAGATAGAGAGAGAAAGTGCAAAAGAAAGAGACAGAAATAAAGAGAAAGGGAGAAAAGAGTGGGAGGGAGCAAGAGAGAGCGATAGAGATAGATAGATAGAGAGAGAGAGAGAGGGGGAGAGAGAGAGAGCTAAATGGGTAGAACAGGGTGGGGTGGCTGAGAAATCGGGTATTGTTGTCGGTAGAGCACTCTCGCTCTGAGCCTGGATTTTTTTCTGCTGACAGCGAGTATCGTATTGCGGCTGGAGAACGCAGCCAAACAGATCATGACAATGTGGATTTGGTATAGGATTACAGCAGGCTGTTCCCTAATATGGGGTGCCCACTACGGATGGGATCGGCCGATGGGTCCGATCGCCCGACTTGATCGCCTCAAAAACAAACGTGTTTGTGTTCAGTTTCAGGTGATCGAGTCGGGCGATCGGCGCGATCCAGCGGTAGTGGGCACCCCGTTTAAGACCACAGAGCACAGCTCTTAGAAGTCAAAAAGTGCTTGGGTTTATAGACAGGTCAAGAGAGTTACATAAATAATACTTTATTGTTGAACCTGTCTAAAACGACCACCAATAATTGTCAAGAAAAAAGTGTCCATCTAGGACATGTGGGTCATTTTAAACAATGAATACACGAGTGTGTGTGTGTGTGTGTGTGTGTGTGTGTGTGTGTGTGTGTGTGTGTGTGTGTGTGTGTGTGTGTGTGTGTGTGTGTGTGTGTGTGTAGTTTCCTGACTTTGTGGATAATGCACACAATGCGAATATATATTATTGCCCGACAACTGCCACCTTTCTTTTTGTGGCTACAAAACATAAAATATATACGGGAAAAAAATTGAAGATCAGTCCTATCTACGTTTAGTTACCTTTTCCTCTCCGCAGATGCTATACAACAAGGTTTTTATCTTAACTTTATACATAATTGGAAGATGCGCACTTTTAAACAATCGAGACTTGTGAAAGACATTTCGAAAGCCCTGTCTGAGAACTCACAAACAACTTTGTCATGCAACATGAATGTATTATCTTTTCTTCCTGGTAATTATATTCTTTTCTTCTCCCGTATAATATTTTGTTTCTGCTTCTCTGCCTGACTTTTTCTCTGCACTTAATGATTTTTGTTGTGTGGCTGTGCTTCTCAAGCTAAAAAAACAAACAAATTTAATTTGACTTCTTTTTCTTCTTTTACCCCACTTTTCTTCTTTTCCTTTTTTTACTAATCGCAACACCAGCGCTTTTGTTCAAAGCTCACAAACAACTCGTCGACAAGAAAAGATGTGATTGTTGTCAGTGCTCATTTCTATTTCGAAATCGGGAAAATCGAAAATAAAATGCTTTTGTGTTCATGTCAAGTGCCCGAAAGTGCATTAATGAACTGTGTTTACGTGCGTTGTCAACGCCAAAGCCTCGGTTACGGTACTAAATTTCTAAACACCGGAAGTTTTAAAAAGAATCAGCTTCTTCTCATCCTTCAGGCTCTAAACCGAACGCAAAGGATGAAAAGCAAGAGGAAAGACTGAATACCCTTTAATCTGTATTTCATTCATTATAAAGCAGTAATAGTGTATGTGGCATGAAAACACCACATAAACGTTGAAAGGTCTCGTAAGCCTCTATTCTTGTGGATTCAAAAGAAACAATCGGCATGGCTTATAGATGCTTGTGTCCTGAAATCAAACTCGCATATGTCAACGATAAATTTCAGCTGTAGTGCTTTCATGAAAACATGAGTCACGTTTTTCAAAAGGGCAGCCACACGTAACATTATGGGGAACTTGTGCTGCAAAAACGTCACATCAAAATCAAGGAAAGGAAAAGGAGACAAGTCGTCGATGGGGCAGGTAGGCTCAGTTTTACTTCTGGAATAAACACAAGCAGTATCACTTTATTTGGAGACTTTACGAATCGCTGAATTATATTATAGGTCTGTCAGCTTAGGCACTTGCATGACGCAATGTGGGTTAGCGTGGTGAAACCAAGCGCTCGGCAACATAATGAAATCATTTTACCTGTTTGTGGCAAATTTTCAAATTGCACGTGTTTTGAACGGAAGAAGAAAAGGAAAAGAAAATACCTAACCCTAAAACTTACCTTAATCAAGGAGGCAAGCCCCCCCCCTCATAAATAAGAAGTGCTGCTTCTGATCAGGGGGACCCCCACCCCACAAATTACCCTATGAGAAAAGAAAACCTACCCTCTGCAACGAGCGACCTCCTCAATAAACACAATAAACAAGAGTCCTAACCCGTACACTGACCCAACCCCTAACTCTACCCCTACCCCCATCTTTACCCCAACCCTAACCCTAAAAACCTAACCCTCAACAAAACCTAACCATACCCCTACCCCTAACCCTCAACAAACACAAGCCTACCTCCACCCCTACCCTAACATTAACCCCAATCCCTAGTTCCTACCACTACCCCTACCACAACCCTACCCCTTACCCTAATAATCCTCAACAAACAAAATAAAGGAGAGACCTATCCCTACCCCAAACCCTAACCCCACCCCCACCATCCTAACCCTAACTCTACCGCCAACCCTACCCTTACACCAAACCCCAACCCTTCGCAAACTCAATAAAGAAGAGGCCTAACCCTAAGCCTACTCCATCCCACCCCCACCTATAACCCTCAACAAACAAAATAAAAAAGAGACCTACTATTATCCCTACCCCTAACCCCGCCCCTAACCCTACCTCCACCCCGACCCCAACACTAACCCCAACGACCTACCCCTAGCCCTAAACAAACACAATAAAGAGGAGACCTACCCCTACCCCTACACCAAACCCTAACCCTAAAAATCATAATAAAGAAAAGACATAACCCTACAAGGAAAGACCTATCCAACTAGCCCTAGGCCTACCCCGGGCCAGACCCTACCCCAACCCCTACCCCAGACCCTACCCATACCTCTACCCCTATCCCTAAACCGAACCCTAACTTTCTATTTTTCTCAGTTTCATGTTGGTCGCTCTTTGCGGAATTCCTCCTCCCTAATAATAATACAATGTATTTTTCTAGAATTAATCGCGGTGAGAATTTGGTTAGAAACTGAAGAAAACCTGACAACTCAGCGCTCCCAAACAACGGA